TTTGAGTATATGTGGTCTTATAAGGTGTGCAAATCTATATATGGGCTTAAATCTAATCTAAATGTCTCTTGTGGTTACTTGTATTGTATATTTCATCTTAGCATAATTACAATCTAATAACCAGAACAACTGCTGGTGGGCCAAATCAAGTGGCTAGGCGGGCCACATTTGGCCCGCGGGCCCCACTTTGGGCACCTCTGACTTAGAGCCAATCGTATTCAAGATGGCTGCCACGGCCTGCTGACAGTAGAAAAGACAAAACATATATATAACTCAGTCAGTGTTACAGAAATTTAGCTAAAATTAACTGTGATAGTAGCTTAGCGTGTTTCTGAACATTTACTGTGAGGAAGAGATTCAAACTGTCACAGAAAAAAGACAGATTACCATAATCTGCAAGTTGCATAGTAACTGTTCAGATTAATGCAGTTGTTTTTAATAATTATCATCTTTAAGTACTGTTTAGCAAGATAAGTGTTTATAGTGTTTATTTATGTGTGATAAGAGAAGTGTTAGGATACTGAAAGAGCATCATGTCATGAATTGTTATCATTTTATTTAGGTCAGAATAAGACAAGAAGACATTGTTTATCTGTGTTCTGTCTTTGTTTCTCATGAAAGTGTTTTGTTCCCATAAGACAGTTTAGACTTAGAATGGTTCATCTATGATTCAGAGCAAGGATTTTCCTGAAATGCTTATGGTGTGTTGATTTTTTTTTCCTGGTTGACCATTCTTCTCTTGCTAGCAATAAATTTTAATTACTAAAGAGTATCGAGGTCTACGTCTGATCCTCCTTGGGTGGATACTTTTTTCCTTTACATTGACATTGCATGAAATAGCAAACGTTATTTTCAAAGTTTGACAAAAACGGCTACAACTTTGTCATTCCTCGTCATAACTTGGTCTTAGTGTGAAACTCTGACATGAAAGGTGGTGGGTGGGTGAAATGCTAGGCTTTCAACTCTTTGTGCCACAACAAAACTCCCCGTCAGTGTTACATGTTTTATTAGAACGTCCAACTACAAGTTACCAGGTGTGTGTCTCTACACGCTGCAGCTTCTGGTATTTGATTCCCTGAAATACTTCAGTTGATCTTGTCTGCCAGGTTCAGAAACACAAATTACGTTTTTGGATAAACGATGTCTGAGAAAGATTTCAGACATGAAGCTGAGCTCAGTGACAAAACTTTTTTATTAAATGTTGTGTTCAGAAGCTGTTGTGCTTTTAATCTCTTTATATTTGCTGTGTGTTTGACACGTACAACCGTCTACATACATGGTGACAAAATGAGCATGGAGAAACATTTTCAGCAATAAACAGCAGAGCATTCATTTTAGAGTCATAATGAAATAAAACAATGTATAATTTTCTGCTCATTTATTATGCATCTCATGCAAGATTCACTGTGTTCCAATGATTGTAATAATGTGTGGTATGATTTTGTGTGGGACTGGATTAATAAATGATCAAGTCTTCATTTATGTTGTGGCTTTAGTGCAAAGGTTGTTCATTGCAGTAGTTAAATAAAAATAGTTTATTCTTTGTCAGCCATTAATTATTAACTGAAAGGCTGCAAACCTGAAACTCAAGAAACGTTAATGCTCAGCCCGATAAAGTACTTTTAAAACTCATTTTACTGCAGGATTTCATCCAGCTGGACTTCACTTGTTTTGCAATATAAAAAATCAGCTGCTGCTTATTTATTCACATTCTTCACAACTCATGATTCATCTCATGCATTAATTAGCACAGASGTTTGGACACAAACACACTCTGTATGGACAAAGGGATTAAACATAGTATTTTAGAAATGTAGATTTTTCACAGGTGCTTTATACCAAAAAAA